GAATTTTTTTTATGCTGAGATTCACTTACATTTTTATTCAAATCTGGAACCATAATATATCTCAGTAGAAGAATTAAACATTTATTAAATTTAAGGTGGCATTTCTGAAATAGTACCAGTTTGGGTCATCCTACTCTGCTGCCATCTTCCTCTCTCCTCGATTTGCTTCAATGTGACTTTTAAAAAATCAAATTCAGTAATCCATGTGTATTGGTTAACTTGTTTTAAATTCATACTAGAATGAACATTTTATTAATATTTTATTCATATAAACCAAAAAATAATTTGCCTTTCCTTTGAATAGAATGTTTAGCAAGGGAAACATTTTCCATATCATTTCTATTTACAAGTGCAAAAGTTATCAACTATTCTTCAATTGTATACTTTAAGAAAAAATGTAATTTTATGACCATAATGACAAATACAAATACAATATTTCATATTATAATTTGATCTAAATAAACAGCTATTAATGATAATTTTATTTTTGTAAAAATATTTCAAAAGGCTTTGAGGAAGGCTCAAACCTGAAGTGTCTCATCTATGGGTAGAAAAAATAGTTTCTAAATTGCACTTCATAAAATCCATGGCACTTAATACTATTTTGTTAATTCTTGGCAAACACAATATTTAGTGGTTAATACAGTCACAACATTCTTATAGGCATTGGGGATGGTAGTGAGTAAAGATATTTTACAAATATAATAAAAATTAAATTTTGGTTAAGATGAGAAAAAATTGATGACAATCTAAGCATTTAATAATGTTACTGATACTAACATTTATATTAATTAAAGAATAATTACACTTTTAATAAGAGCTATAGCGGGAGAATACAAATTATTATTAGAAGTTATATAAGGAGAAACTAGCATATATAATAAAATGTGAAAAGAACAAGTAAATACTCTTAAGCTTTTAGTTTCACACCCAATTATCTAATTTATGACTATAATACATAACTGGAAAAATGTGCTAGTTTTAATTTTTAAGTTTATGTATTTATGTTTGTATAGTTTTGTTATTTGTTCAGAGTTTAGTCTTACGCACTGGCCTGAATTTTGAATTGGCCTTTGCTTTCTCAAGCAAATGAAGGCAAGTTTGTACAGGCTGAAAAATCCAAGAACAGAATCTTCATTGTCTTTTAATTATTTTATATGAAGTGACATTATTTTATATGAAATATTTTTCAGTATATGTGCTGCCGAAGTGAGCACTGAAATATTTTTCATATTTCAAGGTGTTAATAGGATATACATGCCAGATAATAGGTAATGTCCATATTGCCCTTCTGTCTTCTACAACTGTTCTTTCCAATATGGCTGTGATTAGGCACAAGTATTTAAATATAAATTTTAATTAATTAAAATTAGATATAATCTAAATATCAGTTCCTTAGTCTAACCAGCCGCATTTTAAGTTTTCATACCTACATGTGGATAGTAGCTAGTGCATTGAACAGCACAGATATACAACATTTCCATTATTGCATGAAGTTCTGTTGGACTATACTGTTCTAAGATATTATATTTTTCTTTAACAAAAATTTATGTTCAGTTAGGTGATTACATGTGAACCTCCCACAGATATTTACAACTCTATGAATGATTTGCTGATTTACATATTTAAATTTCATACTGTCCAAGGAATTTAAGAGGAGTTGCCCACATGTGAGACATAATTTTCAATAAAGTTTTGGCCAGATATCTAAGTTTGATGCCCAAGTGTGGTGCCAACATGAGCTCACTATCATTATTGAATGACTATTCCAAGGTGGTTCCTCTGCCTTCTCTCCTTTAGGGATAAAAAAATGACTAACACATGGATCCATCATTCATGCTACCCTGATAGCAGTTATTCAATTGGCATTCAAACCCATGTGAGAAATGAAAAAAAAAAAAAAAAAAAACTGAAGCTTTTGCTGTATGTTAGACTATAACTTGAGAATAGTGGGAAAAGTGAAAAGGCAAATAAAGATGCATGGCTCCTTAATTCATCACCTTACAAACATTAACAGAGATATGTCTTATGTACAGAAAAAAGTAAAAAGTTTGGGATACTTGAATATCCTGAATTCCAAACCTATATAAAATTATTTACCCTTGTTTATAGGGACAAACTTTTCCTGAGAAAAACCTCAGATAATTTTCCCAAGTGTTCATCTTTTGGTAAAGACACTAAATATCATTCATATGTGTTTCTCTCATTAATTTACTTAAGCCTTAATACACTATAAAAGGAAAAAAAATGAAGTCAACAATAAAATTCTCCCCAAAACAACTTCAAAATTATTTTATAAAACAACTTTTTTTTTAGAGATGGTGAGAGAGTGGGAGGAGGGCAGAAGGAGAGGGAGATAGAAAATCCTCAAGCAGACTCCCCACCTGAGCATGGAGCCTGACTTGGGGCTCAGTTCCAAGACCCTGAGATCATGACCTGAGCTGAAATCCAGAGTTGGCTGCTTAACTGACCAAGCCACCAAGGCACCCCTAAAACAACTTTTTTTTTTTTCTGTTAGGGTTATAGCAAGCTAAAGTATCAATCTCTGGTAAAAATTTACAACCTACTAGTAAACCTTTATTTTCAGAAAAAATGATGATAAATACTGCGTGGCAAGTGGCCAGTGCATTATTTACAAAATACAAAACTCTACATCTTTTAAATATACATATGTACAAATAAAAAAATAAAAAATAAAACAAGATCTCAGAGAAGAAAACAACATATTATATGAATTGGATGAAACACATTATGTGTTGATTTTAGATTTTGCTATCTTAAATGACATTTACCTCAAGTACACAAAACAGCACATTCCAGTTCAAGTTAAAAAAAATTGTGGGGGTGCCTAGGTGGCTCAGTTGGTTAAGCATCTAACTAGATTTTGGGTCAGATCATGCCCCTCTGCCCCACTGTCTCTCTCTCTCTCTCAAATTAATAAATAAATCTTTTCAAAATTGTGGGCTTTTTAATAACCTCATGTAATGCAAAAGACTTTATTTCATTTGTTTAAAATATTTCTTCCTAAATTCAAGAATAAGCTTAGTGTTTCCAAACACAGATGAAAACTGCTAAAATAAGCAAGATGTTAATTTCATCTGAGACTTTAATTCTTTAATTCTTTTGATTTATAAAATTAAAGAAGAAAAGGTTGTCGTTGGATATGAAACTTCAAAGAGAAGTATACTTGCTTTTGAAAAAAATGAATAAAGTATATTTGTTGCCAAATAAAAGCTATTTTTTGTCTATTGTTCCAGAAAACAACCAAACCATTGTACAAAACTTTAACATTTTTTTCATATGCATGTGCAAGTCAACCCTTCATTGCACATTGGAAGGTAATAAATAACACAGCACTTCCAGAGTTATAAATCTGGTGTGCTTGCCCAGAAAATGCATACAGTGCCAGTGAGTACTAAAAAGAGTTCCAAAGACCCTCCTGCACTGTTGATAGGAAAGCAAACTGGTGCAGCCACTCTGGAAAACAGTATGGAGTTTCCTAAAAAAGTTCAAAATAGAACAACCTTATTATCCAGCAATCACACTACAAGGTATTTACCCAAAGAATAAAATAATAATAATAATTCAAAGGGATACAGTACTACTACTACTACTAATAATAATAATAAAGGGGAAAATCCAACAAGAAAATATAACAATTGTAAATACTTATGTACCCAACAAGGGAGCACCCAAATATATAATATAGTTAATAACAAACACAAAGGAACTAATCGATAGTAATACAATTATAATAGGGGAGATTAACACCCCACTTACATCAACCAACAATTCATCCAAACAGAAAATCAATAAAGAAACAGAGGCATTCAAAGATACACTGGACCAGATGGATTTAACATATATATTCAGGACATTCAATCATAACAGAACAGAATACATATTCTTTTCAAGTGCACATGGAACATTCTTTAGAATGGATCACACATTAGACCACAAAACAAGTCTCAATGGATTAAAAAAGACCAAAGTCATACCATGCATCTTTTTCTCACCACAATTCTATGAAACTAGAAATCAACTACAAGAAAAAAATATGAAAAGAACACAAATATGTGAAAGTTGAATAGTATGCTACTAAACACTGAATGCATCAAGGAGAAATAAAAGAAGAAATAAAACAGTACATGGAAACAACTGAAAATGAGAACACAACAGTCTAAGACCTCTGAGGTTAACAAAAGCAGTTCTAAGAGTGAAGTTTATAGCAATACAAGCCTACCTCGAGAAGCAAGAAAAATCTCAAATAAAAAACCTAACCTTACACCTAAAGGAGCTAGAAAAGCAACAATGAACAAAACACAAATCCAGCAGAAAGAAGGAAATAATAAAGGCTAAAGCAGAAATAGAGAGGGGTGTAGTGAAGGTGGCAGAGTAGTAGGAAGACCCTATGCTTACCTCCCCTGGACCACAACTGGATAAATATCAAATCATTCTGGACACCCAGGAAATCGATTTGAGGACTGAGATAACAAATAGCCAAGCTAAAGGGAGAAAAGAGGCTACATTGTGCAAGATAGGAGGTGCAGAGATGTGATTTGGGAGAGAAAAGAAACACCACTGCTGGTGGGAGAGGGAGCCCTGATCAGGGAAAGAAGAGAAAGAGAGAGAGAGAGAGCAAGCCACAGTTCATTGCACAAGAAAAGTGTTTCTCCAAAACCATTGATGGGAAAATGAAAGGGGCTGATAATTGCAAGTTTTTACAAAAAGCAGAGCTCAAAGTCTGAAGTTTGAGAAGTCTGCACCATCACTGGGTTGGAGCCTGGGAGGCATAGAGATGCTCCTTTGGAGGAGGGCAGAGACCTGGGAGTGGACAGCATGGACTGAGAATCCCCTGGGTCGCATTGGGTGAGACAATCTCCCTTGGAGTGAATTTAAGAGTGGTGCCACTGTCTCAGGGGACAAAAGAGCCAGCAGGCACTGTTGAGCTGCCCTGTTTGTTAACATAGGAGCAGAGGCAGCTACTGAGAGCGCCTAACCTGGATGCTAGCTTTTTGCTTCACTTTACCATAAATTCCAAGCCCCTGCATGTACATGCCACTGTGCTTCTGGGACAAATCTGTATCAACCACATCATAATGAGACCTTCCTCCAGAGGATCAGCATGTGTCCTTGCCACAGTGGGTCCTTAAAATTTGGAATTTTGAAACCCAGCCAGCAAGCCTGAGATAAAACACAGGTGCACCATTCAGTCAGATGGGCAGATGGTCCAGACACAGACAGGGTGAAGGCAGAGATCTGAGGAAAGCCTGGGATAAATGAGGGGAGATTGTACAATCTTCTGTGAGGGCTTCCTAAACAGCAGCAGGTGCCGACTTGCCTCTGCAAGGATAAGAGAGCAGGCTGACACCATTTTTACCCCCGCCCATCAGCACAGACATACATCAATGAGCAGCATAGCACCCACAGTGGAGGCTTGAGCCACTTACAGCAAGCCCACTCCTGTGCTCTGCAGGTTCTTTCTTACAAGAGCAAATGTGCCTGAGAGTCAGAGCAGCAGCTGGCTGCTCCCCCAGAAGATGAGCAGAATCCACCTGCACATTTAAGTCTACTGACCATAGAGGGCTGCAAAGCTTCAGCTCTTTGGGAAATAAGATCTAGCCTCTTTTAACAAGCAAACCAGAACACACCCAGTTAAAATTCACCACACAATGGACAAGGCCCAAACATTCCCCACTGCAGGCAAGGAGAAACTGCTGAGGACTGACCTGAGGGAGGGGGCAGCCAAAACACAACAGCAGAGTGCATGCAGCACATACCGAAAACACTTCTTGAAGTGTCAGGCCCTGGACAGTATATGAAAACTTCTTAAAATACTAGCCATTATACTCAGGAGCAGGAAACATAATAGGCTTTCCTAACACAGAGAAGACTGAGACCTAGACAAAATACCAAGATGGAGTGATTCATCCCAAAAGAAAGAGCAAGGAAAGGTCATAGCCAGGGATGTAATCAAAGCAGAAATAAGTACTATGCCTGAATTAGATTTTTTCATAAATATTTTATGTATTTATTTGTTAGAGAGAGAGAGAGGGAGCACAAGCAGGGGGAGTGCAAGCAGAGGGAGAAGCAGGCTCCCCGCTGAGCGCAAAGAGGAGCCCAATGCAGGACTCGATCCCAGGACCCTGGGATCATGACCTGAGCTGAAGGCAGACACTTAACTGACTGAAACACCCAGGTGCCCCCTGAATTAAAATTTAATACAACAATCATAGGGATACTGGCTGGGCCTGAGAAAAGCATAGGAAATACCAGGGAGTCCCTTAACACAGAGATAAAATACCTAAAAACCAAGTCAGCAGAAATAAAAAAAAATGCTATAACCAAAAAGCAAAACTGACTGAATATAATGATCAAAAGGATAGAAGAGGCAGAGGAACAAATAAGTGATATAGACGATAAAATTACAGAAAATAATGAAAAGAAGAGGGAAAGAAAAATATTGGAACAGAATGTAGAATTAGGGAACTCAGTGACTACATAATGTGTAATAATATTCATATTATTCCCCAGAGGAATAACATAGGGAAAAGGGGCAGAAGGTTTATTTGAGGAAATTATAGATGAAAACTTCCCTAATCAGGGAAAGGAAATAAACATCCAAATCCAGGAGGCACAGAGAACTCCCATCAAAATCAACAAAAACAGGCCAACACCAAGACATACCTCAGTACAAAAATACAGAGCTAAGGAAAGAATCCTGAGTGGAGAAAAGGAAAAGAAATCCTTAACTTATAAGGGAAGACAAATAAGGTTAGCAACAGATATCTCCACAGAATCTCAGTAAGCCAGAAGAAAGTGGCATAATATATTCAACGTGCTGAATGGAAAAAAAAAAAAATGCAGCAAAGAATACATTATCCAGAAAGGCTGTCATTCAGGTTAGAAGGGGATATAAAGCATTTCCCAGACAAACAAAAACTAAAGGAGTTTGTGATCACTAAACCAGCCCTACAAGAAATTTTAAGGGGGACGCTGAGTGGGGAAGAAAAGACCAAAAATAACAAAAAATAGAAAGGACCAGAGAACATCACCAGAAACACCAACTCTATAGGTAATACAATGATATTAATTTAATATCTATCAAAAATCACTCTGAATGCAAATGTGCTAAATGGTCCAAACAAAAAATATAGGGTACCAGAATGGATAAAAAACAAGAAGCATCTGTATGCTGCCTACAGATATTCATTTTAGACCTAAAGTCACCTGCAGATTGAAAGTGAGGGGATGGAGAATGATCTATCATGTTAATGGACATCAAAAGAAAGCCAGAGTAGTCATACCTATCAGAAAAACTAAATTTTGAACCAAAGACTGTAACAAGAGATGAAGAAGGACACTATATCATAATAAAGGGGTCTGTCCAACAAGATCTACAATTATAAATATTTATGCCCCCAGCGTGGGAGCACCCAATTATATAAATCAGTTAATAGCTAGCATAAAGTAAACCACTGATAACAATACAATAGTAGTAAGGACCTTTAACCCCCCACGTACATAAAATGGACAGACCATCTAAGCAGAAAATCAGCAAGGGAACAATGGCATTGAATGGCACACTGGACCAGATGAACTTCACAGATATATTCAGAACATTTCATCCTAAAGCAGCAGAATAGACATTCTTTTCTATTGTAAATGGAATGTTCTCCAGAATAGATTACATAATGGGTCACAAATCAGGCTTCAACAAGTATAAAAAGATTGAAATCATACCATGCATCATTTCTGACCACAATGTTATGAAACATGAACCAATAAAAAGAAAAAAAATGGAAAGACCACAAATACATGGATGTTAAAGAATGTCCTACTAAAGAACGAATGGTTTAACCAGGAAATTAAAAAAGAAATAAAAAAAAAATACATGGAAGCAAATGAAAATAAACACAACATTCCAAAACCTTTGGGATGCAGCAAAAGCAGTCATAAGAGAAAATAGTGTATTTTTAGGGGCGAGGGAAAAGATGGCGGAGGAGTAGGGGACCTGATTCCAACTGGTCCCCAGAATTGAGCAGGATATCACAGCAGAGACCACTCTGAACACCCACAAAATCAGCCTGAGATGTAAGAAGATAGATCTGGATCTCTACAAACAGAATATCGCAGGCAGTTGGTTTTGAGGTATGAAGTGGGGAGCCGTGATTCTGTGGGCAGATATTGGAGGATAAATGGCAGTGGGAGGGAGCCCAGCCATGGGGATCCAACACCGCTGGTGAGCAATAGCCTCTAGCACTGGGGATGGGGCACAGACTCGCAGACTGGCAGCAGCAGGGAAAGGACTTCAGGGCAGCCCCCCCAGACAGAAACCCAGAGCGGAGGGGCTGCACGTGCGAACTGGGGGCAGCTGGCAGTTTTAGAAGCACATAGGGCAGAGACATGCCCCGACCTGGAGGCGAGGACTAGGAGCGCTGTGGAGGGGTGCAAAACCCAGGATGCTGCAGTATATAGCAGCACAGACAGAAACAGAGACAATGTGGCCTGGAGAGCTCACTGAAGAACAAGCGGTGATCTCTCTGCTCTGAGGCAGAGGGTTGGAAATGGTCTTTTCTGCTCTGACTCTTGGAAGAGATGCAAAAATCTGCCAGGGAAAGCCACCAGAGAACAAAAGCCCCAAAAAACCAGTTCCCACTGAGCCCATGCACCGCCACAGGGGGCAGGGCAACTCAGCCCAAACAGGGTTGCCTGATTAACACTGTGGCAAGCCCCTCCCCCAGAAGACAGGCTGGAGAACAAGAGGCCGGCAACCCTAAAGTCCCTAGAAAACAGGTGCATCTTGCTTGGGTTGTGGTCAATAATTTGACTCTATACATTCCCTCAACGACCCATCAACAGAATGACTAGGAGGAGGAACCCCAAAAATAGGAAAGACTCAGAGATTATGACTTATGCCACAGATTTACAAATGGATTCAAATATAACCAACATGTCAGAGATGGAATTCAGGCTGGCAGTTGTGAAGACAACAGCTAGAATGGAGAAATCAATTAATGGCAAAATAGAGTCTCTAAGGGCAGATGAAAGCTGAATTGGCTGACCTTAAAAATGCTATCAGTGAGATCCAATCCAATCCAGATAATCTAACAGCCAGGGTAAGTGAGGCATAAGAATGAATTAGTGACCTGGAAGACAATTTAACAGATAAAAAGGGAAAAGAGGAGGCTAGGGAAAAACAATTCAGAATCCATGAAAATAGAATCAGAGAAGTAAGTGAAACCATGAAACGTTCCAATGCCAGAATTATTGAAATCCCAGAAGGGGTGGAGAGACAGAGAGGACTAGAAGATATATTTGAGCAAATCATAGCTGAGAACTTCCCTAATCCGGGGAATGAAACAAACATTCATGTCCTAGAGGCAGAAAGGACCCCTCCCAAGATCAAGGAAAACAGGCCAACACCCTGGTGTGTAATAGTAAAACTCGCAAATCTTAGAACCAAGGAAACCATCTTGAGGGCAGTTAGGGGGTAGAGATTCCTTACATACAGAGGGAGGAACATCAGAATAAGGTCAGACTTATCCACAGAGACCTGGCAAGCCAGAAAGGCCTGGCAAGGCATATCCAGGGTACTAAACGAAAAGAACATGCAGCCAAGAATACTTTATCTGGCAAGGCTGTCATTTAGAATGGATAGAGAGATGTAGAGCTTCCAAGACTGACAGAAGCTGAAAGAACATGTGACCACTAAGCTGGCCCTGCAAGAAATATTAAGGGGGGTTCTAGGAGAAAGACCCCAGGAGTGATATGCAACAAAATTTTACAGGGACAATCTATAAAAACAAGGTCTTCACAGGCAACATGATGACAAATAATTCATATCATTCAATAATCACTCCCAACGTGAACAGTCTAAATGCTCCCATAAAACGGCACAGGGTTGCAGATTGGATAAAAAGACAGGACCCATCCATATGCTGTCTACAAGAGA